CCCCTGTGGTTGTAAGCCGCCCTGAGTCCCCTCAGGGAAAAGGGCGGCATATAAATCCCAATAAACCTCTGAACCTCTAAACCATGTGACTGACTCAACAACTACAGTAATTCACTGTGGTAAGAAAGGTTGTAAAATGGGGCATAACTCACTTAACAAATGTCTCAGCTACAGAAATTTTGGGCTCAATTGTGGTCGTAAGTTGAGGACTACCTGTATTTAAGAACTTTTCATTCTCCTCCTCGTCTTTACGACTGTATTCCCAGTGGCTCATTCATGCTATCACACATATATAAAATAGTAACATAAAAATAAAATAATAATGGAACTCGATACTCAAAAGAGTTAGAAATCTACCAGCCCGGGATGCCCTACTATAGATCCATTGGAACGTCTTCTTACTCAGAACACGCAGGTCCCCCAATATTGTTTCTGCACTGACAAGATCCCGTCGTCTCCTCGCACAAAGGACCAACGGATCCCCCGATGTCACAATGGCATCCTGCAAGAAGACATACACAATTTACCTTCTACTGTTGACAGTTGGTCCCAAGTAGCAAACCACAACATGTGGCTCGAAAAGGAATGGAAGCAGTTTGGACATCTATTTTTATTCCGTTACTAGCCAATAATCCAGCATTGCTTGGGTATTTATTTATAGGGGGAAAATGTCCAGACCAAACATAATTTCTAATGTTGGATTTTCCCCCTTCCTAGAGGGAGACCTCCTATGGAGTATTGTGAAGCCATTACCATGGCAACTCCACTGCTCTACACAGTAGAAGCCATTTTACAGCAGTACAGTAGAAGCCATTTTAAGGCACAACAGGCTGTATCTTAACAGAATACCTCCCCCCCGGGGGGGGTTTAGGGGTGTCTTACCCCCCACAGTATTTGTTTTCAGACAGTAAGTCATCTGTGTACCAAGTTTGGATGAAATTGCTTGAGGCTTTCCAGAGTTATGCTATAACATACATATACACAGCTGTTTTTATATCTATAGATATCAACGTTCACGTTGACTTCCAGCCGGGTTGGGAATTGTTTCTATTACTGTCCAGTTTTAAACTACACCGGATACTCTGTTTGTTATCCCTTGCTGACTTATAAAGTTTTCCAGCTGTGCTTGTAGATTCGCCATTTCACACCATCCAAGGACACAACCTAGATATCTAATCAGAAGAAACAGGAAGGGAATTTTCCTCTTACGGTACTCGGGAGGTTTTTATGCCAGTTTGGTCTGTTGCTTAAGGCACCAGGCTAGAAACTGGGAGACCATGAATTCTAGTCCTGCTTTAGGCATGAAAGCCATCTGGTGACTTTGGGCTAATCACTAAGAGTCTGGGAGTTCTAGTCCTACTTAGGCATGAAAGCTGGCTGGGTGACTTTGGGCCAATCACTAGGAGACTGGGAGTTCTAGTCCTGCTTTAGGCATGAAAGTGATCTGGTGACTTTGGGCCAATCACTAAGAGGCTGGGAGTTCTAGTCCTATTATAGGCATGAAAGCTGGCTGGGTGACTTTGGGCAATCACTAAGAGACTGGGAGTTCTAGTCCTGCTTTAGGCATGGAAGCCAGCCGGGTGTCCTTGGGCCATTACCTCTCTCTGAGGCCAACCCATCTCACAACTTTGTTGCTGTGGAGAAAAAAGGAGGAGGAAGGTGTGCTCACCACCTTCAGTTATTTATAAAAATAATAAAGGTGGAATATAAATTGAATGGACGAATGAATGAATAAATGTACGAACAATAAGTCACCCTGGGACTCTGCACAGCCGTCGTCCGTAATAAGTTCTTCTGCGATGTATGGATCATGGGTTCTACACATCAATTTCAAACCAATTTCATTGTATTTATTTTGTACAATGACAATAAAGACTATACTACCATGTTTTTAATACCGGAATCGGACAACTCGCCATGGCCAACTCGCCGTGGCCAACCCACGAGACAACTCGCCACAGCCACCTCACTGCGGGACAATTCCACACGGGATACCTCTACGTGATAACTGTTATCTGCCCCTGTTTCTCCAACATTATTTCCATGTTTGCGGGGGGAAATGAAAATAATGATGAAGAAACCCATCTTAAAGCTGGACGCTTGAGATCAGGCAGTTTAAATTCTTCCTTTCCAACTCTAGGATTCTATGAGTCTCCTCAGTTCTGGCTGATGAACCTACAGCTTATTGTCTTCTTCCAATTACTGATTTAAAAACATTTATAAAAGATATAAATGATATAAAGACGTACCTTTACAGCCAAAGTAATTACCGCTCTCCAGATTGAAGTATCCCTCTCGGCAAGCAGAACACTTTTGGCCGCAAATGTTCGGCTTGCAGAAACAGTGACCATTACCCTAATAGACAGAAAGATTGATTGACTGACTGATTGATTGATTACGGCCTGTGACCACACCACATTTTAAAGATGGAAAAAAGCAAGACAAAAATGATGGAAATAAGATCTATTTGTATCCAAAATAAAATTGCATCATATTCAGGTGCGCATAAGTAAGCCACAGGAAAGGTGTCGGGGCGATCTATTTTTTCATGGTGAAAGAATCCAGGACAAGAAACAATGGATCAAAGTTGCAAGTTGCTTAGATTTCATTTAAATATAAAGGTAACCTTCCTAATAACAATACCTACTGAGGCTGTGGATTTTCCATCACTGAAATCTGTAGAGATTCTCGGTCATCCAGGTCGTGGTTGCCCCAAAGGTGCTTTTTCAGGAGGCAACTGGACTTTCTTGTTTTTTTCTTCTTTTGAAGACATTTGGCTTCTCATCCAAGAAGCTTCTTCAGCTCCGACAGGATAGTGAGGAATGGGAAGATTTATATTGCTTGTGGACAGCTGATAACCTGTCAGAGCTTGGATGAGAAGTTAAAAGTCTTCAAAAGAAAAAAGAAGGAAGTCCAGTTGCCTCCTGAAAAACACCTTTGGGACAACCCTGACCTGGATGACTGAGAATCTCTACAGACTTTTAGCTATGCAATTTGTGATGGATTCCCTTTGAATGGTGTGGGAATAAAGAATGGATTTGCAGAGGGGGGAAAATTACAGACTACAGGAACCAGAAGCACCACTCATTTGACCCTGAGGACACAGGTAAACCTCCAAGTGCTTCAATGGCCCTCTAAAAAGATGCAAATGTCTAGCTGTCTGCAAGGAATATAATTCCTCCCATTCCCCACTATCCTGTCTGATCTGGAGAAGCTTATTAGATGAGAAGCGAAACGTCTTCAAAAGAAAAAAAAAACAAGAAGTTGCCTCCTTTGGGACATCTCTGAAGGTTTTTAAGATATTGAGACAGCCAGATCTCATGGATGGCTTAACTCGTATTTCTACACATTGCAGACAACCGAATAGATAATCTCAGGGTGTGTTGGAAACGAAGCTCATGTGACTGCGGTAGCAACAGCAACGTGGCAGTGCTGTAGCGATCACAACTTTCCAAAATGTTATTCTCACGGGAATAATAGGTCCCTGCATTCTATAAGTTAGCCCATTTGAAGTCTTTAGTTTCAATAAATCTTGCCTTATGATGCACCAGTTTGTCCAATGGAAAGTTACAAACAGATGCAAATTTCAACAATATATAGATGATTGCATGAAATTAACTCAGAAAAGTTACTTAATTTGCTTGGCTACAAGGTGGGGACAAAAATAAACCCACTGTGCAGACCATTAGAAAGACCGGACCTGGAGTAACTTTTCCCAACCTCCCATTGTGTTGCACTACTAATCCCATTATTACCCATCAGCCCGCCAAAGAGCAGAGTGAAAGTGGAAGGGCATCAAGATGAGGAAGGTTAGAATAAGATCTACTCCAAAACCTACCTGTTGGCATTCAGCAACGCCTGCCATTGTTCCTATGGTATTGCATTGGCAGCCTGAAGGAAAACACAAAAGAACAACTGGAGAGCCTGTTTATTGGAGAAGCCATAGTAACATTTCTTACAACACATGGATTAAGCCATGACCCATAATGTTAAATTCATCTTCTTTTAACGATCCCCAAATCACTTGCAGGGTGAAGTCTGGGCAATTGAATGCAGCTAGCAGAGTGCTTAATGGCCAGATGCCTTTCCTGTTGCCAATGCGGAGTTTTGTTCAGCAGATATATTCTCATTGTGCCCNTCACAGGGAGGAGGGGGGGGGGGTCAAGATATTTTCCAAAGCACCTGAAGGCAAGACAAGGAATAATGGATGGAAACTGACCAAGGAGAGATTCAACCTGGAAATAAGGAGAAAATTTTTTGACAGTGAGAAACAATCAACCCATGGAATAGAAGTTGCCTTCAGAAGTTGTGGGAACTTCATCACTGGAAGCTTTCAAGAAGAGACTGGACTGCCATCTGTCAGAAATGGTGTAGGGTCTCCTACTTGGGTGGGGGGGTTGGACTAGATGACCTACAAGGTCCCTTCCAACTCTGTTAATCTGAATCTAACTCAGATGATCAAAGGCCTGGAGATTAAAACATATGACAAACGGTTGCAGGAACTGGGCATGGCAAAGACTGGGGGAGACAGGATAGCAGCCTTCCAATATTTGAGGGGCTGCCACAGAGAGAGGGGGGGTCAAGCTATTCTCCAAAGCACCCAAGGCCATACAAGGAATAATGGATGGAAACTGAACCAGGAGAGATTCAACCTGGAAATAAGGAGGCATTTTTTGACAGTGAGAACAATCAACCCATGGAATAGAAGTTGCCTTCAGAAGTTGTGGGAGCTTCATCACTGGAAGCTTTCAAGAAGAGACTGGCCTGCCATCTGTCAGAAACGGTTTAGGGTCTTCTGTTTGGGCGGGGGGTTGGACTAGATGACCTACAAGGTCCCTTCCAACTCTGTTATTCTGTTATTATTCTGTTATTCAGAAGTTGTGGGAGCTTCATCACTGGAAGCTTTCAAGAAGAGACTGGCCTGCCATCTGTCAGAAACGGTTTAGGGTCTCCTGCTTGATCGGGGGGGCTGGACTAGATGACCTATAAGGTCCCTTCCAACTCTGTTCATCTGTAAACCTCAAAGGCTGTTCTCTTGAAGACACTTCTGGTATCTCTCTCTTGCCTTGAGCAGTGGTTTGGACTAGAAGACCTCTTGAGGCTCCATCCAAGCAGCACAAAAAAGTCCTCTCTGAAACCTATTCTCTCTCTCTCTTTCAATTCATAAACATTTTGAATACAGTGTATTGTCAGGGCATATCATTTACAAAAAAAAAACCAAAGAAAGAACAAAAAGAAATATTAATACATATACCAATAACGATTATAATAGAATAATTTTTACTAGACTTCTCTTTATATCAGCTTGCTTGTAATTCTATTAATTATATGAGCTTATTTGCAATTATAAACCATCTTTATATTTAATTCATACATAGCAGTAATCTTTCTTCATGTAATTTCTACCTCTTATCTCTAACCACTCGTAAAATCTATTCCATGTTAAGCACTATTCTGTGTCTCCTTTGTCCTTTATTTTTTAATGTCCATCTCTGCACACCAATATTGGGCAAATACAATATTGCTGTTGTCAATACACGCAAAACTAAACATGTAGTCCAGGGGTGGGTTTCAACCGGTCCGTGGCGGTCCGCGTGGACCGGTTGGTCGGTGAACCCGGAAGTAAGTAACTTCCGGGAACGCNGGGGGGGCTGGCATGCTTTAGAATAGAATAGAATAACAGAGTTGGAAGGGACCTTGGAGGTCTTCTAGTCCAACCCCCTGTTTAGGCAGGAAACCCTACACCACTTCAGACAAATAATTGTCCAATCTCTTCTTAAAAACCTCCAGTGTTGGAGCATTTACAACTTCTGGAGGCAAGTTGTCCCACTGATTAATTGTTTTCACTGTCAGGAAATTTCTCTTTAGTTGCAGGTTGCTTCTCTCCTTGATTAGTTTCCACCCATTGCTTCTTGTCCTGCCCTCAGGTGCTTTGGAGAATAGCTTGACTCTCTGTTCTTTGGGGCAACTCCTGAGATATTGGGAGACTGCTATCATGCCTCCCCTAGTCCTTCTTAATAAAATAAACATTCAAACATTCAAACATTCTTCTTTTCATTAAACTAGACATACCCAGTTCCTGCAACCGTTCTTCATATGTTTTAGCCACCAGTCCTCTAATTCTCTTTGTGGCTCTTCTCTGCACTCTTTCTAGAGTCTCAACATCTAAACTTAAACTTACTTGATTCCAAGAGCGAAGCCTTGGATAACTTCACCTGCATTTGGGCCAATGAAATGAAGGCCCAGGATCCGCTGATCTTTTTCACGCAGGCACACCATCTGCAAAGAATTCACAAAGAACACGGAGTTTCCAACTAGCTGGGATTAGAGAGAATTTATTAATAGAGTAGAGTAGAATAGAAACAGAACAGTAACATTAGAATAAGAATAGAATAGAGAATAGAATAAAATTAGAATAGAACAGAATAGAATATAGAATAAGAATAGAGAATGGAATAGAATTAGAATAGAACAGAATAGAATATAGAATAAGAATAGAATAGCCTATAGAATAGCCTATAGAATAGAATTAGAATAAGAATAGAATAGATTTAGAATAAGAATAGAATAAGAATAGAATTAGAATAGAACAGAATTAGAATAGAAGAATGGAATATTGAATAAGAATAGAACAGAATTAGAATAAGAATAGAATAGAGAATAGAATTAGAATAGACTAGAGAAGAGAGAATAGAATAGAACAGAATTAGAATAGAATAAGAATAGAATATAGAATATAGAATAGAATAAGAATAGAATGGAATAAGAATAGAATAAGAATAGAACAGATGAGGCAAGGAGGAGGAGGAGAGGTTATAATATTTGTCTCCTTTGGGGAGGAAGGAAGATGGAAGGATCAGGAAAAAAGCTTTGAGGCACCATGTGTGAGTAGGCAGCAATATACATTTTCTAAATAAATAAAATAAATAAATAAAAGAAAAAGGTGCTTTATGTTTTTTATTTTTAAGAAAACCCTTGTACGACCCCAGAGACCGTAAGCCCCTTGAACTGAAGGAAACATTATGAAGGCCAACTTACTTTTATGTAACACTGAGTAGCATCTCTTTCGGCCACAACAAATTCCAAGGGTTTATAAAATGCGTGGTATACCTGAAAGAAAGTTGTTATTCCATCACAAAGGCTAAAAATACTTGCATTGAGATTGGAATAACAGAAATTTGCAGATCTGAATATCTCTCTCTCTCTCTCTCTCTCTCTTTCTCTCTCTAAATCTTTCTTTTTTTCTCTCTCTCTGTCCGTTTTCTCTCTCTCAGTCTCTATATTTTCTTTCTCTCTCAATCACCCTCTTTCTCAATCTCTCTAATTTCTCTCTCTCAATCTCTCTCTCTCTCTCTTTCTTTCTCTCAATCTGTCTCTCTCTCTCAATCTGTCTCTCTCTGTTTTCTCTCTCTCAATCTCTCTCTCTCAAATTCTCTCTCAGTTTTCTCTCTCTCAATCTCTCTCTCTCAGTTTTCTCTCAATCTCTCTGTTTGTCTCTCTCTCTCTCAGCTTCTCACAATCTCTGTTTCAATCTCTCTCTGTCTCATTCTACGTTATTCCACCATTTTTCCCGCCATCAGCCCACTCTCAAAATGCCTACCCCAAGATCCCCTTTCCTGGATTTTACTTAACCAGCTTCTAAAAGTTTGGTTCCCCCCCAAAGGCTGAAAAACACAAAGCAGAAAACACCACCATAAACTGGATACATTGTTTTCCGATGACCAGAAAACTGGATGATAGCCTACCTCTATGTTATCTGGACTATATCGGTGGACAGCAGCTTCTTCTGAGATGCCAACGCTACCATATTCTAGGGGGGTGAACACTGTTGTAGGCACCTACAGGGAGAAGTTGAAACCACACCGTTAGTTATTAACCAAAGAGGTTGGGTCTTCCAGCATCTTGCATTTTCAGCAATGTAAGCCTGCAGGATCTACTACCATGTTTCTCCGAAAATAAGACAGGGTCTTATTTTCTTTTGACCCCCGAAATAAGAGCTTGGCCCTATTTTCAGGGAGGTCTTATCCTTTTTGAGGTGCAGGAAGCGGCGAGCATGGTCACCTCATGGCTGCTGCTTTGTTGCAATATTTTCGGGGAGGGCTTATTTTTGGGGAAACAAGGTATTTCCAGATATGGGTAAATCCTCGAATTTCCACCACAATCGAGCCCAAAACTTCCACTGCTAATCAAGACCGTTGCCAAGAGGATTTGTCCCCTTTCAAGACGGTTTTTGCCACGAATCTGGCTTCCCCCTTGGCTTGTCAGAAGGTCGCAAAAGGGAATCATGTGACCCCCTGCAACCGTCATAAATATGAGTCAGTTTCAAAGCCGAAGAGCCANGGAGGAGGAAGAATAGGAGAAAAGAGAGGAGGAAGTGGAAGAAGGGATAGATGAGATGGAGGAGAAGGAGGAAAAGAGTGGAGAAGCAGAAGGAAGACGAGGAGGAGGAGATGGAATGAGAAAGAGAAAGAATAGGAGAAGAGTGGAGCAGCAGAAGGAAAAGGAGGAAAAGGAAGAAAGGGTGGAGGAGGAGGAGGAAGAATAGGAGAAGAGAAAGGCGGAGGAAGGGGCAGATGAGATGGAGGAGGAGGAATAGGAGAAAAGTGGAGAAGGAGGAGAAAATGGAAAAAGGGATAGCGAAGGAAGAGGAATAAGAAGAGGGTGGGGAAGGAGGAGGAAAAGGAGAACATGGAAGAAGAGACGGAGGAAGAGGATGAGATAGGGGGGAGAAAGAGGAAATGAGAAGGAGGAGGAAAACGAGAAGATAAATGCAGTAAGAGCAGTAGTAATAATAGATATAAGTCCACTCAACTCCTATATCAAATTCCTTTGCAAGCCAGTTACATCACCTTCTCTGCGTTTTACTCTCAATTAAGCATTTGATGAAGGGATCTGGGAAAGGCAGATTTTACTGCCCTTGTTTAATTATATCAAAGCTTCCTCAGGGGATGTAAGCTGTTCCAAGTTAAGCTGCCTTTTGCCATTGACTGGTGGGGATTGTGTCAATGCCGATGCTATTCAGATGTTTTTGGGACTGCACCCAAGGCGCCTATCACCCTGTGTGCTATCTTAGCTTCCTTTGCTACGATTACAATCATTGGGACATGATGAGAAATTAAGATAAACAAATGATTCTTTAAAAGAAACAAAACAGAGATAGAACTAAAACTACAAGTAAATCACGAGAAACTAAGATCCGCAATAGTAGACTTAGAATGAATGAGCTGGAAGGGACCTTGGAGGTCTTCTAGTCCAGCCTCCTGATCAAGCAGGAGAACCAATACCAGGGGTCAGCAACCTGAGGCTCTGGAGCTGCACGTGGCTCTTTCATCCCTCTGCTGTGGCTCCCTGTTGCTCAAAATATGCGTCACAATCACCAATCACCTGCTGGCATGCAATTTATTGAGCTTTTCGACCCCCCAGTAGGCCAACCATGGATAAACCCAAGAAAAGAAACTTTTCAGAAGAAAACAGAATGTTTTTTTTTAATAGAAAAATTTGAAAAAAAAAACTTTTACATATGTTTACTTCCCTCCCTCTACCCTCCCCACCCAAACCCCTTCCCTCCCCCGACTTCCCAGAACCAATACAGGGTATAAATCTTTAACAAAAATATTCTAAAATAAACTTAAAAGTAAGAAGTTAATATCCTCTATCANATTCTCCGCAAGCAGCTGGAGCATCGCGCAGGCGCTAAGACGCATGTGTGAACTGCGCCCGTGCACGAGGACACCGCTGGCCCCGTTCCAACCGTACTGGTTGGAACGGGATGAGCGACCCACCACTGATGTGGTCCCTATAACATAGATTTCTGGGATTATACCCAACAAAAGTTATTTCTGGTCTGAAACCTATTCTGGCGATCCAGAATTTCAGCAGTCAAATGGTTAAAAGGAGAAGGGAAAGAAAATCACATGGGATGCTAGAAGGACCCATTAAGAGCACACCCTAAAGGCAGATAAAAGGACCATCGAGGTCTGAAGCCTTGGGGCAAGCTGGAGCCTGTCGAAATAAATAATTAAAATAAAACTCCTCTCTTTTTCCTAAAGAGCGAAAGAAAACAAGAGAAATGCAGGAGAAAGAATTCCTTTTGCAAACAAAACATTTTTTTAAAAAAACCTCCACGCAGCTCCCTTGACAGCAGAAAACGGAGGCGAGGGGAAGCATCTTCGGATACAGTCCCATCTCCACCCCACCTCCCTCATGATGGACTACGGATGATTTGCAAGCAGGATTCCACACCCCTCAAACCCCCTTCCCAGAGATCTAACCCCATCCCACCCCCCCACCCCCTTTGCCAAAAGAAAAAAAAAATATGGAAGGAATGCGCCAAGACCGTGTGCCCAAAGTGACAGCTCCTCCAGAAGACAAATTTAAACGCGGGTGGCCAACTCGGCCGAGACAATGCCGATGTCATCGCTAATCCTTACAGGTACTAATAATGTAATTCCATTTCGGGGGAGGAGGAGGAGGAGGCGAGCATGAGGTGCTCTCTCGAGGGAGGCTATGGGCTGTCATCCCTAGGAGGGTGGGTGGGGGAGGAATGTGCCTGCAGGTTATTTATCTGAAGCCATCCACGCGAAATGTTCGGCAGGCGTCCGATCAGCACAGAGCTAGTAAGGGACCTTGGAGGTCTTCTAGTCCAATCTCCTGGGGCACCAGAATGAGATTCTACCTGGAGTCTGCAAGGGGAGCCTATCCTAGGAGGTTCACATGGAACCAGAATCAGACTAGAGCTGGAATCAGAGTAGAGTAGAGTAGAGTAGAATGGAATAGAATAGCAATAGAGAGGAGAATAGAATAGAATAGCAATAGAGTAGAGTAGAGTAGAGNCCCAGACAGGGCTAGATAGAAAGGACGTACGTTTTTCCAGGGGATCTTTTAAGCCAGAAAATGTCGTCGCTTGTAATTCCCAACTCTTGAGCTCCTGCGACCTGAAAATAGGAAGAAACAGAATTATGGGGCTGGAAGGGACCTTGGAGGTCTTCTAGTCCAACCCTCTGTTCAAAGCGGATCTTGTTATCATCCCGGTCAAATGGTTGTCTGGTCTATTTTTGAAAACCTGCAGCAATTTGAAAGCATGTAAAAAAATGACTATGGGGACGTCTTCGGACAGCGCTGGCTCTTTGGCTTTGAAACAGAGATGAGCACCGCCCCCTAGAGTCAGGAACGACTAGCACAGGGGTCGGCAACCTTAAACACTCAAAGAGCCACTTGGACCCATTTCCCACAGAAAAGAAAACACCGGGAGCCACAAAGGTCCTAACCGGAAGCTCCCTGTTCAATTCTGGAGCTGACCGGAAGTTCAGTTCCCTCACCATAGAGTCTCCTCCTAGCGCGGCGAACTTTTTCCTCTACCTGTCATAACCGAAAGCCCTATCAATTGTGGAGACAACCAGAAACACCTCCCCTTGCCATCGTCTTCTCCTGGCGCAATGTGCTTCTCCCCCCCACCAGAAGCTCCTCTCAAAATTGTGGCGCCGACCGGTGATGGAGCCGCAGCAGAGGGAGGAAAGAGCCACATGTGGCTCCAGAGCCGCAGTTTGCTGACTCCTGGAGTAGGACATACGTGCGAGGGGAACCTTTACCTTTACATTAACGATACCATTTTTTAACCTCCAATCTTTCCATCTAACTATTACTTTATATAAAAGGAGTCCAGACATCAGGAGAGAAGTCCTTCTGTAAATCAAACTTTCGCGACAGATCAGCCAAAAAGCTGCCCGGAAGTTAACTCATGTTAATGCCAAGTATTAAAGAAACTTAAGGTTACCTCTGTGGGGTATCTTGGTCTGCCGCCAGTAGCAAGAACTATGTGGTCTGCGGTGAGCAGCGTCTAGGAATAATTAAAGAGAAAAGAAAAAACAGGAAGAGGAATTCAGACCAAGCATCTTTAGGCCATCCGGGGTCTTCATGTCACACTGGGAAAATATAGTTTTCTCCCAAAGTATAATATCATATCATGGGAATTATCAGTTACATAATGGCAATAGCACTTAGACTTATATACCGCTTCCCAGTGCTTTTTCAGCCCTAAGTGGTTTACAGAGTCAGCCTCTTGCCCCCAACAATCTGGGTCCTCATTTTACCGACCTCAGAAGGCTGAGTCAACCTTGAGCCGTTTAGGATCGAACTGCTGGCAGTGGGCAGAGTCAGTCTGCAATACTGCATTTTAACCATTGTGCACAATGGATGGATGGAAGGGAAAGGAAGGGGAGAGATGGAGGTAGGAAGGAATAGCAATAGCACTTAGATTTATGTACCGCTTCACAGTGCTTTTACAGCCCTCTCTAAGTGGTTTACAGAGTCAGCCTCTTGCCCCCAATAATCTGGGTCCTCGTTTTACCCACTTCTGAAGGATGGAAGGCTGAGTCAACCTTNGTGAAGCAGTATATAAGTCTAATTGTTATTGCTATTCCTTCCTTCCTTAACAATAACAAAAGCACTTAGACTTATATACTGCTTCACAGTTCTTTACAGCCCTCTCTAAACAGTTCTCCCCTGCCAAGGTCGCAAAAAGTGGATTATGTGACCCCGGGACCCTGCAACAATCATAAATATGAGTCAGTTGCCAAGCATTTGAATTTTGATTACGTGACCATGACATACTGTCGTAAGTTTGAAAAATGGTCTTAAATCACTTTTTCCCCATGTCGTCATAACTTCGGTTACTACACAAAGTGTCGTAAAGCGAGAACTCCCTGGGTGCGGCACCCAAGAGATGATTCATTCAAAGCGGAATTCGGAAATCCAAGCTAGCAAGCTCTCTGACTTCCCAGGTGCTCACCTGAGCCAAGCGGTTTCTGCAGGTATTACAGGTAGGGATGTCCTTACCTAT